CATCTGCTTGAAACCCGATAATCAATACTGCCTTTGCTGTCTAAACTTTGAATGCAGCTACACTATTTGCTAGCCCAAAGAAGGTAAATTGAAGTTAATCCCAAATTTAATACATTTTAAATAAGCAAAAGAATATAACTTATCCTTGCAGCAAGAGGAAGGAGGTGCATGCCTAAAACAATGTTCTAACTACAAAACTAGATCACAGGTCTCTTGCTCATTTTCACACATGCACTGCATGTTAAACATTCTGCTCCATTACAAAGAAGCAATCCTTAAATTTAAATTTTTTAAGTTTTTTAAAGTTTGTTAAACATTTTATTTTTCTTTGTGACACATGCTATATGGCAACAGTATCAATGTGCCTCTTCATTTTGCTACAGTATACTTCCTGAATAATCCAGTGCAAGGTGCTTGCTGGTTTGGTTTGGTTTTGTTTTGTTTTGTTTTTTTGGGGGGGGGGGAGGTTTGGAATGTAAATAGTGTAAAATGTTATATTAATAACACCATTTGACTGCACTGTGTGTTCTTTTGGCATTTCTCTTAAAGCCATTGTAGCAGAAAACCTTCACAGGCAGATTGTAAATTAGGACAGAGAAGAACGTTTTTAACTGTAACCTCAGGCCTAAGATACCTCATTGCTTTAAGATAAAGATAAATCTGGGGAATTGTCACTATAGGGACACAATATTTGACATTAAGTTCAGATTTTAAACACAGTCATAGGTGGCCACTAAAGGGAGGTAGGTCTGAAGAAACAAAGTATGTGATACTTTTGTAATTTAGCAATAAAACTTCCTTTCTGTATAATTCAGTTAAATGAATGTTTGCTAGATTCTCATTTAATAGATGATAGCAATTCTATCCAGATGTGATTTGTTCTTTCTCAAAAATTCAGACCAACTAGCATATTTTATCTGAATAAACAATCAACTAGAATCATCAGATGTTACTTGGTATTATTAATTTGAAATAAGGTGGCAAAAATATTTCTTTTGTATGGATCATAGTACTGATTTTCCTTGTTGTGGTTAGGCAGCTGTCACAAATATTATTCAAGCAATGATCTGAATCATAGGTTTTCTGGTAATTTACATTTTGTTTGCCTGTTGCAGCTTAGTGGCACATAACTGGAGGGGATATTTATTTGCATATGTCCTTGTACTGCATGAATTTGATTATGGATATAATATATTTTGCTTCTTCAACCAAAGTCCCTGCAAGTGTCAAAAGAAATAAGTGGTACAGTATGGAAAACGTAAAATGTGTTTACTACATGTGAATTATCAGAATTTAGATTAATTCCAATTTAAAAAAAAGTCACATCTTTGTGGAACAGAAAAAAAAAAGTGTTTTACAGCATAAAACATTACAAAAAATGAAATGCAGTTTACTTTTTTTCCCAAATCCAGGGAAGTACTGACCAGGCAGTTTCTATTCATTTATATATATTTCATCCTTAAGTACCTGATCCCATGAAATGTTAAGCACTTCCTTTGAGGTGCTAAATCATACAAACCTCTTGGACACGAATAGAAGTGTGAGCTTTACTATTACAAAGAGAAGGGTATGGTGGTCTATTGGGATGAACACAGGAATGCAAACCAGGCACACCTTTGGCCTTCAGGAACAGAATATTGGGTGAGATCCTGGACCCACTGAAGTAATGGATTTAACCTCATGCCCTGTAAAAACCTCATGCCCTGCATCTTAAAAAGTTGAAATGCTTATTAATAATTAACTACCATATGCCTAGATATACAAAATAAGCATTAAAATTGTACAGCCTGTGCCTCCTTGTGTATCACTCTCAAATAGTCTACTGTAGCATACCTTCATTTCAATTTTTCAGTGTCTGATAAATGTTCAGAAACAAGTCAGTGGTCTCATTCCAGTTACTCTTAAATCAATGTCCACATCATAAAAATTATAATTTGGCTTGACATTAATTGTAACACAATAGTTGATGTTTCCCGAGAGATCAGAAACCAAATGGAAATAGAGACTGAATGACCCTTTTATCCAAGGTGGATTCTTTAACAGACATTTGATGTTACTACGAGGGAAATTTGCGGTATTGCTGCCCATCTTGTACCTGTATTGTAGATAGGCAGAGAACCAGTATCCAGGAGTACCTGTCATTGTTTATTAATATTAAATTATAATGGGTTTCCAAAGTAAGTTATTTAGAGGTTATTAATTTGAAATCTACTTGTATTACCATCCCATTATATATAAGAAAGATTATATTAACATAAAATGAATTAATATTCTAGATGAATAAAACAGGAAATACAAATTTCTTGGTCATATAAATTATAAAAAAATAAGTTCATAATAAAATGGAGAGACTTATAAAAATAGGAACAAGTTATTTTAATCAAGCAAAACCAGAATTATAATCACTCTTTCTAAAAATAAAATTAGACTTTTTTAACCAAGCCTTAACATCTTCATTTAATAATTTCTAAACAAAAATACAGATGCTATTATATAGCAAATTACAGTCTTAGACAACGTACAATATTTCCACCCTTTACACTTATTTTAATTCTAATTTGGTCATTAGTACTTGACTTATTACTTCAACATGTTACTTATAATAAAAGTCCCACAATTAACTAAAACATGACATTGCCCTCTTAAAACTTTTGTTATAAATTGTAGAGAATATTCAGGATAACAAAGTCATTGTGTTTTTATCAAAATATACAAACCCCCCAAGCCTAACACAAGCTATTAATAGTTTTTCTTGTGAACTATACAGTTATATAAAATATGTGTAAAATTATCTTTTCATGTATAAATATTCTACCTTATTTGCTTTGGTCTTCAATTTCTCAGCATACAAACCCACTTAGAAAATATCACTATGTACTTTCTTTGAAATTTCTTCACAATTGTACTGCATTTATTTCTCAGTCTTAGTTGTCTGGAACCAAAGCTGCTACGAAGCAAAAAAACTCTCATTGATTCATAGCATTCATCCATGATAGAATAAATAAGTGGAGTATATTATTACTTAATTCAATACTGCATTAACATTACAATTACAGTTTTATCTTACCCAAGCTATTATTTCTTCTACAATGTCCTAAACACAATAAGTAAACAAATATTGTGCCATGTGTACACAGAATGAAGACAAGGTTTGCTATCCTTTGTCCTCTCCTTTTCTTTATAATACTGTAGAGTTGAAAATACATGAATAATTGGATAATGCAGACAGTATTATGGACATTTATCAGAGCAACCCCATGGTAAAAACTGCATATTGCAGTTATTGTCTTCCTTGGCTGTTTTTATAAAGTTACTTTTCCCTACCTTCTTCAGAGTTGGATCTTTTTGGTTTTGGCAAAACAGAACTGTAAAACTGGTGTTAGAGGTTGCCTTTTGAGCCAGCCTCTCTGCCAGCTGTTGGTAATTTATGTCCCCCTCAAGCTCTAAGGGTTATCAGGGATTTGGCTTTGGCTGCAACATCATAGGGCCATCAGCTCTGACAGTGTTTTAACTGCTGGCACATTGCCATGGGCCAATGGATTCTTTACACAGAGCCCTAATTGTGGGTAGGAGTGGGAATTTCTCAGATGGAAGGCACAAACGAAAAAAGGCCAAACTATTTAACAAAGGAACTGAAGGGATCTGTCTTCACAAGCTGGAGAACCAAGCAAGAAAGAACAAGAGAGAAGAAAAAAGTGGATTCTGCCTTATCTGAAATTCTATTAAGATGTCAGATTCACAGAAGGGGAGAAATCAGAATAAAGGGAGGTATATCTCTGGGTACTGTCACATGGTAGAGATCTGGAACTCCGATACTTTCATAACAGACTGGAGGTTAGACATTTTCTTTGCTAAGTTCACCACACTGTATTTACAGGACTTAAGAAGTTTGGAAAACCCACAGAAAGGTATAACTCAGAGAGCAGGTGTGAGTCACTGGATGCTCAGGAGGGCTGAGGCATTCACTAGGATTTTAGGATAGCAAAATGGCTTTGGTAGTTTACATTTGGGAATGTACTTAAGTGATATAGTTCTATCCAATCCCACAAGGGCTGAGAAGCACATGGACTCCAGCCATTAGTTTCACTTAAACCAGAGCAAAGTCCATCCAGAATGGGAACTGGGCCAGATTCTGAATATGCAGCCATAAAGACTAATCTTCACATAGAGGGGAGGGGAATTGTATTCCATTACTAAAAATCTCAAAATACTAGTAATTAGTTTACTAGAACAGAATCAGTGACTTCTCCAAGTGCTAGTTTATGAAGTGCCACCACGAAGTGAAGAATTTCTTTATATGGGTTCTTAAACAAGATAGTTCCATAGCTCCATGCCACGAGAATGAAGCAACTGAGTTTTGTTTAGGGAGCTGGTCTACCATGACATTTATAGTAGGGACTCCCAAGATTTATGTAGCTTGGAAAACAGTATTTTTAACTGAGGTAAGCCTTTATTGAATACCATGGGTATTGTGAGTGGTGTTTCCAACCCGCACTGTCACTCAGAGAACCACTGCTAACCAATATAACTGTAAAATGGAACATGGGCAATGTAAAGTAGGATTTCTTTATGCTGTGTGCATTAAAAGGTTTGGAACAGTTTTCTAAAACTGAGCTATATTTTAATTTACTCAGGTTCATGAAACATTTTCTGTATTTACTTTAAGATGATGTATACAAGTTTTTTAAAATTTTGTTTCACTTATAAACATATTGCCATTAGGTACATTTGTTTATTTGTTCAAATGCAATACAGAAGGTCTTATGACAAATTCTTCCTAACCTACATATTTATTATATCCATCATGATTCCAACTTTGATACAGTATATTTAACACAGTTCAATGGCTAGTTAGTTGTAACACCATATGGAAGGGTTTTGATTAGACATACCATTTTCTGCTATTTAAATACTCTCTCTCTCCACCATGGAAAAAAATATTTTAGGTCAGACTTTGTTCTTCATCATTTTGAATTAGCACTACTGCAAATATTCGTATCTTTGTTGTTAAGCTTTTTTTTTTCCTTTTTTTTTTTTTTTTGCATATACTAATAGATGAACCATTTGGATGAAGATACATCACCTTCATTTTTACAATTTGCACAAGTTTGAATTTTTTTCCCCATTCAGTACCTAAGTCTCTGTCTCTCAATATATTTATGATCCCCCCCCCCTTTTTTTTTGAACTGTCACTCAGAGTATGACTTTTGGAGACACATTCTGTATAGAAATCACTTCGTTCCCATCTGCTTCTATGAAATTCTGTTTCTCCAAAGGTTTAGAGCTGTCATTACATAAATACTCTTTTCTATCCTGTTGAGTTGGGCTTTTGAAGAGGTGTTTCTTTTGGTGCATCCCCAGAGCAGCTGCTGTCTTGCAAATTTTGGGGCACTGAAAACAAGCATATCCTTTTCCATTATGTTCACGTGCATGTCTCTGCTCATGATTCCTTTTGGTAGAAAGATACAGAAAGCTCTGTAGGCAAAACTGACAATGATAGCGTTTTTCTCCGGTATGAATCCTTTCGTGTATTTTGAGCGTTTCATTTAAAGTGAATGCTTTGCTGCAGTATTGACAGACAAAATCCTTAACACCCAGGTGAATACGTTCATGTTTCTGCAAGTTTCCAGGAACTGAGAAACACTTCCCACATGTTTTGCAAGTATAGGGCTTTTCCCCAGTATGACATCTCATGTGCATTTTTAGTGTGGATGGGCTCTGGAATGGCTTTTGGCATAATTCACAAATATAAGGCTTTGAAGTAGTTACTTGCAAATGTACATGTTCCTGGCTTTCTTCAGTGGAAGATTTCTCTCTTTCACAGAGCTCACAGTGAAGATTGGGCATTTCTGCACTTTCTTCTTGGCTGATGCCTTTTTCTTCAGTAATGCTCCTAAGTCTATACTCTCTATCACATGTATTTTGACTTTCAATACTGGAGGTCTTGTTTTCATGCTTTTTTCTCCATTTGGCTTTTTTCATTTTTCTTAGCTGTTTAGATTTCTTTTTTGGTTTGTAATTGTAATAAGGTCTCCAGGGTTTGTCACTGGAATCTTGATCACTTACATCATCACACAGTTCAGTCAGTTCCATGCATTCTGGACTGAAGAGTCTAGGTGGGCTTTGTTCTTTTCTCTCCGTTTCAGTCTCCTGAAGCAGATTGTCTTGTTTAGACTCATGTTTAGATCTTCTGCCTCTCTTACAAAACAGTTTTGAACCTAAAATATGCCTTTTTACAATAGCCTCATTCCCAATTTTTACTGTTATCTGACAAAGAGGAGCAACGTTACTATGTGCAGATGTTCCAGGTAAGGCGGGTTTTGCAATGTAGGTTTCAGTTTTACTAGATTCTTGAACAATATTTGTAGTCTTATTAGATGAACCTCCAGGTCCTGTGATATACTGAATCTCCTCTATTGTTTCTCCTCTATTATACAGAAGTGTTTTCTTTTTATCTTTAATGGTTTTTGCTTTAATAAGGCTTTTGCCATAATTATCTGACCCATGTTTATAGTCATCATTTATGATCTGACTGGCTGTATTGTTTGAGGCTCCTGTCTTACTGCATGCTATCGAAGTGACTGTATTACTGTGCATTATTACTGTTGAAACTCTGCTACTGTGCATTATAACAGAGGGTGCAGAACTACTGTAGTTGATAACAGAGGTTGAATTTTCATTCACATTACTGAAAGACAGAATGGAGGAATTGCATTCCTGAGAGCCAGAATCATGTTCATTTGCACCTGTGGACATTGATTTTTCTACAGCATAAAAGTCACTTTTAAGGTCAGAATTTAACACTCCTACTCCCCAAGAAGAAACATGCTCAGTATTGACAGAAGATGTTGCCTCATTGCATGAAGATGTATCCAAGGAGACAGCTGTATTGTTTGTTAAAATATTATTTTGAAAATTCAGTGGAGGTAGTTCAGCACTGAGAGAATTCTGAATAAAGCAGGTGGTAGAAGTAGCTTCATTAACCTGGTTAGTTGCTTGCACATTTTCATATGAAGAATTTCGGTAAGACTTATAAGGCAGCCTTCTGCATTTCATAGGTAGAAGCCTATAAAGTTTGTAAGGATACATGCTTGGCTTTAAGCCTCCATTAGCTGTTTTCTTATTTACTGAAAGCCGATGATCAATTGCATGGAAAGATTTCTGATGGTTTTTGAGTATGTAATAGGTCATAAAAGTCTCAAGGCAGAAGATACACTGATACCGCCTTTCCCCAGTGTGCCAGATTTCATGTCTGGTCCGATATTCAGCTAATGCAAATACCTTGTTGCAGTAATGGCAAGGATAAGTTCTTCTCCATGAATGCACATTTGCATGTCTTCGAAGGCTCGATAATGTTACATAGCTACGTTTGCACACAATGCAAGTGTATAATATCTGCCCGTCAACAACTTTTATCAAATGGTCCGTTTCTGGCAAGGTGCAGCTTGCAGTAGAGTAATCAGTAATATTGTTTTCGGACAGCAAATGCTCTGTGTTTGCATATGACCTTCCATTTCTTCCATCAGTAGGAGTATAATTTTCTGAAAAATTTTGCTCATTCCCATTATGAACAGATATACTGCTTGATCTCACACAGGTCTGTTCATGATTCTCTAGCCTGTTTTTATTTGCAAATTGTTGATTGCAATATTTGCATATGAAAGGTTCCTGATGCTGCATGTGAAGCTGAAGATGGGTACTGAGTAAGGCTCTGTCTTCAAACGATTTAGTACAACAGTTGCAGCTGTAAACAGGTGGAACAACTGTTGCTACTGATCCAGAGATATTGGTAGAATTATTTTCCTCTTCTCTGGAAAAAAGGAAATCTCCTGTCTTACTGTGAGATTTTGGAAAAGGAATAGTGGCTTGATCAGTAACTATTTCATGTTGGCCTTCTGTTTCATTTACTGTGGGGGCTGACACTTTTGCTACAGCCAAACTAGTACACTGGGGTTTAAAGGCTATCTTTGGTGTACTACATGTCTGTTTTACCAGTTGAACTAGAGGTGTTGTCTGAAGTGTTTCATAACTGTCTTCACCCTTTTTATATGCAGGACTGCTGTCATGTTCAAAAAAAGGTGTACCTTGAAAAGTATCACCCCCAGAAGAAACTGCGTAGGAATGTTCAGCTAATGTGCTGGCTGGCTCCGCTTCTTTGCACACATCATCCCTATCAAGGCCAACAGTGGATGCTTGTATTGGCTCAGATACCTTTTTAAAATTTGCTCTCAAGTCAAGTGGAGAAAACAAATTATTACTGTTTTCAGTTTCAAAAATTGAAAATGCATTTGTGATTCTTGGCCCATTTGTGATAGCTGAATCTTCGTGTCTTTTTTCATTTTTTTCTTCTTTGACTGATCCCTTTTCAGTAATACAGAATCCATATGGGCAGGGGGAACTTGAAAAATTAATGTCTGTAAGATCTTCTAAAAATGATATTCCCAGTTTTTTCCCTGCAGCTGCAAGATCTGTTACTGTCTCCTGTCTCTTTACAACTACAGTGGAACTGTAAATATAATTAAGTATTTCTGTGAACACCTCAGCCTTGAGATCATCTAATTCTAACACATGCCCAGAAATACAGATTGTACGACTCCAAAAAATGTTTTTGAAATAAAGGCTTGAAGCTGCCAGAACATTACTGTGGGCTTTAAATTTGGTATCTTCTACAATTATAGTGACATCACATAAAATGCCCCGAATGCGCTGTTCATTTAAAATGGAAAGTACTGTATCACTGTGGAAATCATCCTTGAGATCCTTTGAATGGGACATGACTGTCATCTACAAAAGAAAGAGAGAGAGAGACAGAAAAAAATACTTAAATTTGTCAAAACCAATTTCAACCCATTTTATAGAAAACCAGGCCTCTAATAGGGAACACTTTTCACTTGTTTTTTTTCATTCAGCTTAAAATCATGGTGAAATTAGGCAGGAGCATATTCAGGTACTGGGCTTCAGTCCTGTAAACAATATTATAGGAAATAAGGTAGCAAGCACAGTTTCTGATAGTAGATGTTAACAGGGTCAGGCTTGCTAGAAAATGTAATTTTAAAGGGATTTCACCCTCAGGTCTTATGTAAAAAATGATCAGTTCTATAGAAGTTATCCCCTTCCCCCCTCCCTCATTTAAAGAAGAGAAAACACCTTCCTAACTCAAGTGCATTGACATGTTCGTAAGTTATATACTAAGGTATGTTCTGTCGTGATGTTTCACTGAGGATCTTCAATAGCTTTTAAGTAGTATTTACAAAAAGATCAGGGATGAAGCAGCTCTGGAGCTTCTCAGTAACAAGACTCTTTTGAGGCGCAGTAGCCACATTTACGTCTTATTTGCTAGATGTCTGAGATCCAGATTTGAAAAGAGCCAATGGTGCAACTGATAAGGTCTGTTCTGATTGAGCACAAAAATTAGACTACATTCTGAACACTAAAATGTCCCTCCACAGCACCATATATATAACATATATTTTGTTTTGTTAGTGTAGTTTTTTTTAAATTTATGGTAGTCATTGATAGTATGCTAGCAATAATAATACTATAATAATATATGTCTATAGTAATAATAACTATAGAATACTGTAGTAATATTAATATCATGTTTTACCAGCTGTAAATTGGTGTCACATTTGTCTTAGTATCTTAGAGATGCAGAAGTCTACCGTCTCACTTCAAGTTCTTCTGAATAAAATTTGCTAACACTTGTCCAGGACTTGGCTGTGATGGCCTCTCTACATATTCAGGTAAAAGCTGCAACAGGATCTAATGTGCAATGCACCCAATTATGCATCCTGCCATGCCATACATGGCAGGAGGTGCGATTGTGGGATTGCACATTAGATCCCATCAGACCTTATTGCTGGTGCAGGGGGAGCCTGGGATCAGAATCCCTGGCTCTCATTGTTACTGGCATGTGTCAAAGGAGACATCTGTTTATAGCCAACTTTTCTCACCAGTGAGAGAAGATAAAAAGATCCTCACTACTTCTATCCACTGCTGACATCATCAGAGCAACATGTAACAGTTCTATATCCAGTTAACAATCACTAGAGCTAGACATCTGCTAGTTTACCATTTGATAATGTTCTCTGCGTTAATGTAAAAAAATAATCATCAATTGGGATTATAATGGATATCTTTAAGGTTTGTAATTTGAGGTCAAAGTGTACTTATGCATGGTGGCCTGGTAAGCAAGTACTGTATCTTGAGTTCCAAATTAAAGGTTTTGGTTAAAAACTTTAAATCTTTAGTTCTTTCGATCCTGAAGGTTACCTTGAAAATATGAATCAATTATAGGAAATGATGCCTGCCTGAGTCTTAATACAGGCTAAAACAAAAGTTCTGAAAGAGGCGTGAATTACCCTATTCATTACTACTAGATGTTGCACTGAAGCCTACTTATTATAGTGTAAAAGACAGCCTTGTCAAGTATGTTACTGCTAACCAAGGCATGTAAGAAAGAAAGTGTGTCACAGAATCATAAGGCTCCTGTATATGTGTAGGGAGGTTGCTCCGAAGTACTGTAATTACAGTGTGTTGGAGCAGACTTCATTAACTGAGTCTGCTGGAGCGTGTTAATTACCAGTATTATGTGCATCAGTATTCCTGTACTGAAAAATGGTGGTGGGGCGCTTTAAACTAAAGCTTGTTTGACAAGCTTTAGTTCAAAGAGCCCCACC